CAGGCAGCACTAGCAGGAGGTGAAGGTTTTCCAGAAGAAGTTTTTGCAGGGGGCCTTGCGGTCCCGCTGTGATAGCTGAGCAAGCCGCCCCAGCACTGCCCGCTCCTCCTCCAGCTTGCCCCCCTCTTCGAGGTCTGGGGAGGCCACCTCATGCCCCACATCCACGCTGTCCAGCAGGCCCACCAGCATCTTCAGGATGGCGTCTTTCCGGACTGTGTTCTGTTCCTGCAGGCAGAAAGCAGCAGAACGTGACGGATGGAGGCCCTGAGCCCCTGGCTGTTGAGGCAGGGGATTGTTGCAGGGCATGAACATCCGTGTGGGGTCCCTTCTCATTTCCCTACCTCCCCTGGTGCCCTATCCTCAGAGCCAATGGTTTTCTTGTTGGCAAAGCTGTGCTGGAGCTGAGGCATCTGTGACTGCAGAGGTCACTCCTCTCTTCTCCTGTCTGCTGACCAGCTAAGCTGGCTGGACAGGGAGAGGCACACGTGCCATGTTGTAACTGGAAAAAAGCTGCTAACAAATAGGCATGAATGGGCTGTAAAGCTCCTTGCTGCCTGCACTAATTAAATTTCATTGAATGCCAAGCTGCCTTCTCCCCTAGTAAGCCCATGCTCACTGCTCTGACTGCCCAGCATCTGCTGTGGGAAGTTCGGGGAAGAGGAATGAGTCCTGAGCAATATTGAATTAACCGCATGGGGGGCTGCAACCCACTGTAAAATGCTGAGAATGAAATGTAACCAAGGAGAGACCTGGGTTGGTGGGGAGAGAGATGCCCTAAGTGTCTGGAGCAAAATACTTAATCAGTGGAGACAGGCAGCTTGTATTTCAAGAACAAGAACCTGTACTTCAATAGCCTGACCTTGTGGGAAGGCAAAATGAAAGAGTTACTGAGCTCCATCCCTTTGCCATAGCAGTATACAAAAGACCATACATAGCATGTGGTTTGGGGCTTGAGGGATTTCCGTCAGTAATAAGCTGCGAGTTATCTTATTTCTCTTAACTTTACATCCAGCAGATCTGAGGAATTATCTCTTGGATGAGCATTCCCAGTCTCTGTGACTCATTAGCAGAGACAGCTGGTACTGGACAAGCTGGGATAGATGGTTTGACAGGAACAGATCCTGTTTCCCATGCGGATGGCAATCTTGGAAGCACATTTCCATGTCACTTCTCACAAATGCCATGTTTACTGCTGGGATTGCTGCATCTATCCACTGGCTCTGTGAGCACCAACTAAGGACCACTTGGTGAGCAACTCAAAAGACGGATAAACAGAGGCAGCAGCAATTATTTTGAGTTTACATTACAGAATAATTATGGATTTTTAAAATCACTTTCTTAGCTCTATTAACTAACCTTCTTAGCTCTATTAACTAACCCTACTTCCACACAAGAGAAACGGAGGCATAGAAAATGACATGCTGTGTTTGTAGCAGAAGAAAAAAGCCAGTTTGTGCCTGTCCTGATTCCTACTCTTGTGCTGCAAGTACAGAAATGTCTTGAGCCTTAGGGAGATGGACTGGGGAACCCAGCTGAATGTGTCTACTGGGTCATGTATTCCTCATAAGCTTCTTTCCTCGCTGCAAGTGCTATGTTTTGAAATAACCTGCTCCACACAGAGCCAGCAGCTTCAGACTCAGAGGTGGGGAAGGCAAAGCTCAGCGTGCTGTTAGGGGAGAGCAGCTGTGGCTGTTAGTGAAACTAGGCAGCTCTTCCCCTGCACTAATCCATTGCTAATATCCTTTCTGCTTATAGCTGTTGCTGAGCTACAAGAGATCAAGACTCTTTGGCAGCGGCTAGAGACCTTAGTATGGGTGGGTGGTGGCACACCTTTGGGTAGCTGATAATTCCCTGTACTACATCCACCAGTGCGTCAGAATGCGCAGATCTTTCTTTTGCATTGTTATGCATGTTATGGTGGCTTATACGTAAAATTACAATATTCTCCATACTTAAAACATTTGTCTGAGTTACAGCAGTGGTGACTGTAGGAATTGGTTCATCAGTATTTAACAATTTTTCAGTTTGTAGAATGCTCTAAAGAGAATCATTACATGTATTATATCATTATTTTGTAAGCAACAGCGTGTAGAAGACTAAGAGTCATTACCCTTGAATTAATTTTTACCAAAGCCTTATATACTGATTTATTCCCTACAACTTGTTTCTTTTTTTCCCCAAGCAGCTAGCATTTGCATCAGAAAGAGTTTACTTTTTAAGTACTGGATTTGTTATTGTAAGAATGTACAGCTGAAAGTTTGCAGTTATCCCCAGAAGGGTTAATCCCAGCCAGCTGCAAAAGCCCTGCTCTCTAACAGAACACTAGCCCTAGCACCTCACACTGTGTAAGTTGCTTTCTCGCAGCCAGTTTTGTTATTAATGGGATGTGAGCCCACTCCTGAAGCAGTAAGACACTGATGGATGAGCTGGAGCCAACGCTAAGACAGAAAAAACGATGTGGATACGCACAAAGGAGAGGTTCGTGCCTTTGCAACCAGCATTGGGATCCTTCACTTCTCTGGGTAGCTCCTCTGCAGGACTGAAATAACAGCAGCCGTAGAGATACAGCTGTGAACCGGACTGGCAGAGTGTGGGGTGACTAACCGCAGCTCAGAGGAACACCAGGGATGGCAAGGAACATGCAGGTGAGAAAACTGCAGGGCAAGGGCAAGCAGAACAGGGCACTTGCTTGTGATTATGTTATGCTATTGCTTCTTACCCCTTTGGCCTCTTAGGGAAATAGTCCAGCAAAACAAAGTTATTATAATGCTATAACCATTACAATATTAGAGTTTTGCCAGTTGGTAGGATAATTATATTGCTATAATAAGTTCTGCCATTGCATAGAGCTGTGCTGGTTCAGAGTGTAATTATTCTAGCAGAACTATGTCAGTATAACTCCCCTTGTGAATACTACTCTGGAAAAAGCAATTTTATTCTGATATAATTACTTCATTTATTATTCCTCTGTTACTTTCCTACTGAACCCATCTTTTAAACATTTGTCCTTCCCATGAGTCCTGTTTAAAATATCATCTCCCTTGATCATTTTACCAATTACGTATCTTTTCCCTCCCTCTCTAGTACTCTGCTTCATTCTCTCATGCTGTATTCTTTCAGCAATATTATTTTCTCCTTTCCCCTCTCCTCCCTGCTCTGTTCTTTTTGCCAGTTTTTGCTTAGCTCAGACTTCAGTTTAGCAGCTCTCTGGCATCTGCCCTGGTAGCTTTCCTAAATAAACTGGCTAGTAAGCTGTAGTAATAGCCTGTGCTTCAGCAGTGCAGGAAGCTGTAGTGCCTTGGAATCTAGAAGGGTGGAAGAGTTATTTGCATCAGGTAAAGCCGAATTGCCCTTACTACCCCTCCCCTGGCTCCAGCCTGCTTCTGCATGCTCCCACCTCACCCAGCTCCTGCACAGGGTGCATTATACTCACCCTAGTGTTCTGTATTGCGAGTCTCTCTTCTCCGGGCAGTGCAGTGGCTCTCACGCTCCACACTAGCAGCAGAACGGACACCAGGCTGGCCACCAGCTGCATGATGTACAGGCTGTGACTACTGTGCTGAATTAGGAAGACTGGGAGAGGGAGCTGTTTCTGGGCTCTCTTCTGCCTCAGACAATGGCTGCAGCCCCTTTTATAGCCCTCCCCCTAGCCCAGTGGGTGACGCAAACAATTAAGTCTATATCAAAGGCAAATTAGACTTTAGAGAGGTTGTTAACACTTGGCTGCTTGAGTGGGATACTTCGGTGCCTCTGGGCTTTCCATGTGCCAGACCTGCAGAGACTGAGGAAGCAAAGGTTTGGGACTCTCCAGTAACATGCTGTTTCTTCACCCCGAGAAATTGTAGGCACTGTCTGTGCTTCTCCTAGTTAGCTGAATTCTGCTTGGGAACATAATGTTGGATAGAATAGGCCACCAGCTTGCACAAACCTCTGGCCAATGCTGGATGATTCAGAGGGAAGAGGTACTAGCCACCAGTACTTAGATATGGGCTTGGACCCTCAGCCTCTATGTCCAAACACCTCCAGACTCTAGGGTTATTTGATCAGGATCTCTGCATCCAGTGATGCATCTCACTGTGGAATGCCAATATGCCTGGCCTTCCCTTTATGGTAACATGGAGACACAGCCTGCAGCTATGCAGTAATATAAGACTACCTGGAAGCCAGCTGGACATTACTGGTTTTTGTTCCTGGTATTGTTTCAGTATGTCTTGACCCTATCCCAGACATATAGGTCAACACAGTGAATTCTGACTTGGAGATGCTGGGTTTAAATATATTAAAGGGAAAACAAAGTACTGAAAGGCTGGTCAGAGCTGGAGCTGCTCTGCTCAGTGAGGCTTCAGAAGAAGGCTCAGGGTATGCTGGCACTGACTGCAGGCTGATTGGAGTAAGTTCCTACCATTTCTGATCTCTGGTTAGCAGTTGTTAATAATGCTTCTCCTTTTGCCCAGAATGCTGTTCTACCAGTGAGATTGGTTTGTGGGCCAGCAGAAGGTGCTATTAAGCAGTGCTATCTGCTTTGTCTTGTCCCCATCATGTGGGGATGGCTTCCACTGTCACATGCCTGTGAGATGCAGAGACAGAGCTAAGATCCCATCTCACCACTAGCCCTTTCTCCAGAAGCACTTGCCTCAGGGCAAGTCCTCTTCTGACCCCAACAACAAACGACAGTCAAAAGATAAATTGTTATCCTAATTTAGCACATTAAAAAAAAAACCACAGGGAGGTGACTTGGACAAGGGAATGCTGTGTCAGAACTAAGAACAAAAGGCAGAAAAACCTGTTCCCCACTTCTGCTGCTTACCAGCATTACAGTTCCTAGAAACTGTATGATGAAGCATGGTGAAGCTTTGGCTGCACTTAATGCAGCTCCTAATGCCAGTTACACCACCCTGGATGCTTATGAGGGAAAAGATGCCATCACTTCCATGAATATTTGAAAAGAAATGCTGGATTCCCTCACTGAAAAATACAAAGAAAAAGCCCTGAGTCATACAGACTTGTGGGGAAAGGTGACAATCTAGCAATTTCTAGAAATGAATTTTCCTCAGAAAACCTTATTGTTTCTCACCCACCCCCTTGTGAGAGCTGGCTTCCATGCACCAGTTTCACATGAAACATTATCTGTTTCCTTTTAAACTGATCTTGCTAGTTTATCAGAATTGCTGTGTTAGCCCTTTGTAATGGATTCTGTCAAACACTTCCCAGCCTGTCTGGGCCTTGAGTCAGCGAGCAGTGAAGTACCAGGCTCCAGCAAGCAGACAAATCACAGGGACTTGCCAGATGACCCACAGCCTATTTGCTCCAGGAATGGTAAAAGTGGGAGAATAGCAAATGAAAAAAGCACACTTGGTTGCTCAAGAGGAACACAGGGCAGATACCTGTGAGTGTGAGATGTGCCTGGGCTAACAGGCAGGCAGAAGGTGATTCCTGTACTGTTGGTTATGAGGCAGGACTAAACCTCGTGGGCCTACTAGCCCAAAAGCTAAACAGACAGCAGAAGCAGTGCAGCTAGGTCTCCATGCTGGGGGCCATCTGGTCTAACCAAACTGCTTGTTCTAATAAAAATGGTTTTGTTTGAAGCTTTGCCTTCTGAATGTGCTGTTTTCTGTAATGCTTCATTGAGCCAATGGGGTCACAAGTATGACAACACTCTTATACCAAAAAAGGGATGATGTGCTGAGCCAGAGATCAGCTTCTGGGGAGGCCCACAGGGATGTGAACAGTGACCAGTCTGTCGTGGGATTAAAGGGCAGTAATAAAATAATTACCACCTCTTGAGGGGGCTGGCTTTGGAGAGAGTTTCTGCCCAGATATGCCAGCACCAAAGCTGATGAGCACACCACAGCCAAAACCTGTACTTCTAGTCTGGGCAAGGGTGGGTGTCTCTTCCCAGCTGGGAGGGAAGGGAATGGGGACACATCAAAGCACTTAGTGCCCACAGTAAGACTGGATCTCTAAATCCAAACAAGTTCTCTCTGGGCTCTGCTACAGCATCCCTCAATATCAGATGCCTCTTTTCCAGACACCTACACCTTTCCCTTGTGCCCTTCCCTTTCCTCACATTGCCTCTGCTGCTTCCTCAACATTAGTCTCCCTTTCTCAAGCTCTGGTCCCTTGGACCCTTTGCAGAGACCCTGCTGGTTCTCCTACCACCACTGCTGGCCATCTCCCCATCATAGGTTATAGCACCATCTCCTTTTCCAAAGGAAGTAAAATAACTCTGTGGTGATAAAATTTGCTCTTTTTAGTAACTGCAAAGAGTTCAACATATAGCACCAGGATTGTTCTTCACTCCTACTGTTCCCTATTCCATATAGCATTGGCTGTCTGACCTTTAAGAAGGCCCCAATTTTTTTTTTTTTGCCAAACCTTAAATGCTTATTAATCTGTACAGGGAAGGTTAAAGGTCTTCTCGTGGAGGAATAAATATTTCTGACAATTCTTTCCCTGATTTCCTCATACCACTTTCTGTTATCTGACTCACCCCTTTAGATGGCGTCCTCCTTGATGCTCTCTTCTGTCTGGAGTCGCACATGGTCTGAGTGGGTTTCTAACACTTTACAGTGAGGGTGAATCTGTCTGAAATCAACATACCCGTGAACACATCCATGGCAACCTGGTAAGGGTGGGGATGCTCTAGAAGGAAGTTCAGCATACAGTAACTTGAAAAGGCCTGGCTGTCCAAGGATTTTGGCTCACAGTTAGTGTGGCTTCAGCAGAGATGCAGGGTGGGTTCAGAATTACAGCTGAATATACTTACACAATCACATAAGACAACCCCCATCTTTTTGTGATTAAGGGTGGTCAAGCAACATGCAATGGGAGAGGTTTTTTCTTTCAAAAAAGAGGTCCCTGATCTCTCCTCAGTGCACCTGAATAGCAGCAAAGACTGGGCATTGCTGGAATGCAAAAGCTAAGACTATGTCTGGCACCAAATGCCACGTTAAGGAATGAGGTAATTTCTCAGTTGCTTTCCTCTATGGCCTGGATATTTGCAGTCTTCTGCCCATTTGTTGCTCGTCTGGGTTCAGATCACCATGACTTGAAGCACACAGCATCAGGCTTCCAGAACAAAGTCTGGATCCCAAAGGTGAGGCACTCAGCTGCAGCTGAAGGAAGGGTTCAAATGTTTCTGCTTTCCTGTCATTGGAACCCTTTCTCTCTGCCCTCATGAGTCCCTAGTTGCAAAGGCTAACACAATAAATAAAGCAATAGTCAGCTGACAGTTGTGAGCCTTCCTGGAAGGGGAAACCAATTTGTTCATGGGCCTGAAATCACAGCTCATTTATCAAGCCAGGCTTGCAGTATTCCCTCGCACTGTGCTCCCCAGGGTCCTCCGAGAAGCACGCAGGTGGCTGCTCCAGCCACGGCTTTTCATCGGCACTAATCTAACAAACCCAAGGAAGAGACTGCGTGAGCGTGGGCTGGAGCCTACTGCTCCCGCTCATCTCTGATAAGAGCTGCAGAGCAGGTGCAGGGAGCGGGGGGGAGTACCACAGGGATGCTGCTGCCAGAGCACGCACGACTACAAGCCTGTTACAGCTCTCTAGGGAAGTGGAGGGAGTTGTGCTGCCTTCTCTGTCTGTTGACCCCAAAGAGACTACAGGAGGAGGAAGGGAGGGTGAGTAGTGGTATGCTCAAAACCTTTTGTTATTTCAAAACGCATGCAAAGTTAGACATTTCAGTTATTCCACAAAAAATCTTCCTCAAAAATAACTACTTCTATTTCAAAATACCTCTATTTTCCACTGAAAATGTTGCGCCTGGCTCCAAGCAGGAGGCATTGCAGGCTGTGAAGCAGGCTGAGGATGCTTGAGGTTACTGCCTACTGATGTATGAACTGACCTCTGTTACACCACACTTGTCCCACTGGTGGCAAGATTAGCTGGATAAGACTTGGACGGAAATGTTTCTTTGCCATTTGGATTTCCTGAGGGATTGCATACGCGCCACGCCTTGTGGGAATTCAGTCAGAAAGAGCTCACCAGGGACGTCAACACATGGGACTGTGAGATTGTCAGCGCCGCAGAAGGGACCGCTCAGCTGGGAGAGCTTTAAACAGGAATTCACATGCTCCATATAGTCTGGAGTTCTGGTTACTCCTCTCCTACAGCTGAAGGGGGATGAAACACATGCAGGGTCATCACATACATCTTGCCATTATCCCCAGCACAAAGAATTAGCTTTATTAAGCAAACTCCTTCCCGGAGATGCCCAGCCGTGGGCTGCTGCAGCAGCCCTTCAGTAACTAGGAGAGGGCAGCCCCCTCCTGCTGGGTCCCTGCTCCAGCCAGCCCTCGTCCTCAACACCGGCACTTCAAACCCTATTAGTCATGAGCTGGCATCCTTGAAAGCCCTTCCACGGACATCCCTAACATTCGTAATGATTCCCTCTGCCTTTATCTGCTTCACACATCACTGTGCTACAATTCAGATTCCCTGGCTCCAGTTTCCCACCTTTTGCAGATTTTAAAAGCACTTAACTCCATCCTATAAATGACCAGGAAAGAGCATCACTTACACTTCTCAGTATTTAACTTTGTTAAATTTTTCAGCTTAATTTTTAACATTTTGTTTGACTCTT